AAATTGAGTACACACGTAAAATGTACTAGTGTACCTTCAAATTTCAACTGTCATTATGTACAAAATGGGTAAAAATATTTTTCCAACGAGGTAGCACTGTCGTTTCAAAAAACATGAATAATGAATTTTATACCAAATTAAAGCCCATTGAAAATGGAATTTATTAGTATATATTTCATCAAGTCTAACCATGCTCTCTATGTTTTTCGGCAAACGGATATGTTTTTGTAGTCAATTACTACAGCTTTTCATATCAACTTAGGCTCAGATTACACCAAAATGTAATCCGAAAAATCCTGTATTCGTCATAAAATTTCTAAATATTTCAACCATTACCTGAAAAGGATACTCTAATGGTAATCTTTGATAAGTTTGATACTTTATGATGAATAGAATGGTTTCTCGGACTACATTGTGGTGCAATTTGAGCCTAACTTAATATGAAAAGTTGCAAAATGGACTGCGAAAAAAATATCTGTTTGCCAAAAGTTATAGAGAACTTGGTCAAACTTGATGCATTTTACGCTCATAAATTCCATTTTCAACCGGCTTTAATTTAGTATAAAATTAATTATTCATACTCTTTGAAAATGTACCGCTGTTCCTGGAAAAATATTTTTACGCACCCTATAAAATGAACAGTGCATCAGCAAGATCTGGCAGTTAGGAGAACACGATGTTTTATATTGCTTATGAATAAAAGAAGTACGAATATTGAAAAGGTGGAAGAAACATATAGTAAATAACTTTTTAGATTTAACATGAGATCACCGCTCCACGACCAGTGTTACCACCTTTTGAACTCTAAAAAGCAGAAAATCATTTTCAAAAAGCAGAAATTGACAGAAGTTTTATCATCAAAAAGCAGAAAGTATATCTTTGATATAAAACTGTTTTTAAGTTTTGTTTCAGCGTTGTAACAAGGAGCTTTCACATATAAATCTAATATTTATTGTTCAAAATCAAGAAAAAAAACTAGTTAGACAAATAAATATAATAATTGAAAACATTTTCTTTTGAATGTATACTTTTCATTTGATTTAATAGCTCGTAATAAATATTCACTACTTAATATATATTTATATAAGTCAGTACATGATAAAGTTGAATTTAAACGTATTTTTAATTCAGCTGATATAAGTTCTATTGTCATACGACTTCTCTTATCATTTAATAAATGTTTCATTTGTGAGAATGCTGATTCGACGTAAGCATTGCTACAAGGTAATGAATATAAAAAACAAATGAGTTTTTCGAAATTTGGTGATTTGGTGAGAGAAAGTAAAAACATCCACAATTAATCAGATCTCACTCTCTTGATTCCTGTTGAATAATCATCATCAACGTCTGTTACATCATCACATATGTTTACTACTGTTATATCATTTTTCTTTCTAACAAATGCTTGAACTTGATCAAAAATTGGAACACTTTGATCTGATATAGTTTTAAATATTGATTTTGTGTTTGTAAATTCATTGAATAAACAATCTTCATTCAAGTCTTTTATTTTTAATAGATCAACACATTGAATAACTTGATTCCATGTTAAAGCTTCAATATTTTTGTAACTAAAATAATTTATTGTTCGATAAAATACTACGTATTGATCGCAATAATTTTACTTAAAAATTCAATAAATGATGTTTTTAACATATTTTGTGTGTCAATTGGTAAACGTGCTAATCGATATCGACAAGCTGCACCAAAAAAATTGTGAATCAATACATTCTTGTAGTTTATTTTTTATGGATGTGATTATTCGAAATAAATCGACAGCTGTTGTATGATAGCGTTGTAATTCGAGATTCTTCTGATGAATTTCAAATAGTACATGTTGCAAAAAACTTAATATGCACGGAACTTCATCACCCTCAAAAAATTGTTTTATTTCCAATGGACAATTTTCGTGTTGTTTCAAGAAATATTTTTTTACCAGGATAAATACTTCTACTAATCGTTCGATGGATAAGTATAGACTTAACAATCGCAGTTTTATATGTTTCAATATTACCTACAACAATAATTGAAAGTATTGTAAATTAGATTAGTATATAAGCAAGACCAAGTGACAAAACATTTTTACTTTAAAATCTAGTTCATAGAATTCATAATACTGTTTTAATTCATTTACTCGCTTTGCAGAACGAGAAAAATGAGAATATATAGAAAGTAATATTTGTTCAATATCAATTGTCAACACACGATGAGCATGTTTAACAGAATTGTGCAATATATGACTGTAACAATTGCCTAGTAGTAAAAAATATAAAACATATTTTTACTTTAAAAAAGAAACAACGATCTTTTCTAAAAACAATAGAACATATGGTATTGAGGATTAATTAGTTTGAAAGGACTCAAAAATTAATTCTTATCACGCATAATTAATACCTGATGACCAAACTGGCAAGGTTTATTGAATTACAAAGATGCATAACTTTCTTAATAAGCTAAAATTACCGTACCTTTCAGAATATCAGGTATCTCATCTTTAAATAATGAATAAACTGAATGATTATGACCCACATTGATGTTCATGTTATCAGCGTCTAATGCTGTTAAGCCATGCATATCTAAACCATTATCCAAAAGGAATTGACGTGCATTCGCAAAAATTTTAATTGCTGATTCATTAGCATCATCAATTAAATCAATTATTCCTAAAACGGTAAAAAAGGACGTCAATGAACTATAAGTTGAACAAATTCAACAAGAAAACAGACCTTTTCTAACACCTGTAACAGACAAAAATTGAACACAAAATGGAAATAATTTTGCATTTCCTTTATTACTAGCATCATAAAATAATGAAAAATATGAGGACTTTCAAATCATCAAGTAAATGTTGAGCAAAACATGGCGCTCATATGTTTACAGCAATGGATGTTGATTTGGTTCGAGCACATGACAAACTATTTGCGCCTGTTGAAGATGCAAATATTGTTTTACATACATTTGTCAAGCATTGTTGAGATAAATATGAATGTCCATGTTTCACACCATGATATAATAGAGTACCTTCAGCTGCAGCAATTTCATCTTTTTCTCTGAAAGGTGTCATAGTATTTGTTATTAACTGTTGATTCACATCAAAAGACTTCATATTGTTTTGATGTTTCTGAGTCTTCATGTGATTATCTATGTCATTTTTGCCTCGATAATGAATAGAAAATTGCTGATTGCAGACTATACATGTTGCCTGAGACGAATCCGATTTATACTCTTTTAAAAATCGTTGATATTTGGCGATTTTTAACCATTCTTTATTGAAAACGCCTTTCTTCCGTTTCTTTTTATTTTGTTATACCATTGATGTCGATGGTAAATTTTCGACAGTAACTAGAACTTCTGTTTTATCTGCATCATCAGCCGTTTTTTCATCAATATCATCATTTTATTTTTCTGCATCAATAATATTACTAATCATATTAATTAATGACGTTGGTCAAGTAAAAACAAAAATCATAGATATTTATTTGTATAAATCAGATAAATACAGTTAAGTATAAGATGTGATGGATGAATGAATATTGTTACTATTTTTTATTAGATAAACATCGAGTATATATACAGGGAAGAGATAAAGAAATTATTCAAGGGAGAAGACGAGAAGCTTCGCCGTCCATTTAGATAGTGAACAATAAGAAGAATTAAAACAGTGATCATTTTTATTGAGAAGAGTCGTCAGTTAGAAAAAGTTGGTGAGACAAGCAAGAACATATGGAAACAGCTGGACAGAAAAGAAAAGAAGGCACTATGTAACAGAAAACAGAATATATGATGAAAATGAAAATATAGGTAAAAAAACGAAATGAAAATGAAAAATATACATTGGTAGTCTTTCACAGCTGGTGGGAAATAATAACTCTTTTAATAAAAGAATTAGAGTAAAACAAAGGTACCAGCAAGTATTGATAAGAATTTATCTTTATACTTTTGAAAATGCTTCTTCAAATCTAAAAACATTGCTTGAAGATATAAAAAGCACAATATTAAAAAAGCAGAAAAAAATCCAAAAAGCAGAAAGGACAGAAAAAAGCAGAAAAATCTTCAAAAAGCAGAATTTTTCTGCTAAAAGCAGAAAAGGTGGCAACTCTGATTAGAAACCGATATTTTTCCGTATGGACAAGGGGCCATAGAGCTCGATTTTAATATCATCAACCATGTAAATCGTCGTACTATTGCTGGCGAAGCTTGGATACTTTACCTACCATGTGCAACGATAGAAAGAAAAAGAAAAATATAAAGCCATGACATAATGCACATGTTCTCCAACCATCGATTAAATTTATTTCTCATCATTATTGAAGCCGTCGGATCGATACATGACAGAACAAGCAAAATGATAATAACCTGTTTATGAAAAAGAAACCCATTGTGTTTAAGTAATATATGATCATACTTTGTCCCACGTATACGGTTGAATGCACGCAAGTCAAATATTTTTTGGATATTCACATAAGCAATATAATACTTTCATTTTTTTTATTAAACAACGTCGATACATCATCAATATAAAAGGTTTTGTCTTTACAATATACGTAGCATTAATACAAGAAGTCTTTTGATGTTACAATATCTTTTGTAAACCCTTATAGTGTATCAATCATATGCGAATGCTAAACTAGAATAGTCATCAAATGATTCGTGGTCTTATTTAAATTGGAATGAGACTTCTAATTTAAGTAGAATTTATCTAGGGGAAACTAGTTTTCAAGGATATAGAGAAGGTGTGCATACACTTCAGGTATACGAAGAGTTCTCCGTTATACTAGGTGACAGAAATTCTGAGAAATAGTTTTGAACAAGCATAAAAATCTTTTGTGCAGAGTTTTTTTAGAAGTTTTGACTTATGATATTGTCAGAACCTGTTAGAGGCCTAAAGAATTCTACAAGTCTCCTAGTTTTTCAGAGTATCCGTATTCATTGAGGGATCGTTTCAGATACTCCTATTTTTACTTCACGCAGCAATTGACACGTTTTGTCAAACGGCGGGAATTAATTTTAGGTTGACCTCTAGCGCTACCTATGAGCCACGAAACGATATATTTTTTTCTTCAGACGTACTTTCAGGAATGATTCCCTTACAACTTGTCTGATAGCTTTTTCTGGGCGTTACTAAAAAGAGCAGGTAAAGTTGTCCTTAAACCATGAGCGAGAGACGATAGATTTTGCGAGCTTCAATATAAAGAAATACTATTCAGAATTACAATATTGGATGATAGTTGTTCTTTTGTGATATTTACACGACTCCAGTCGTTGGATCATGGAAAGAACTCATTCCTCTTCATTTGTACTTCAGTGTCAAAACCATACGATGAAGATTCTATCATGTATCCTACGACCACACCTAAGGATCATAAGTGAAGAATAGTTTAATTTTCTGCTGCCCCCTTAGCATGGTCATCTCATTAGAACATAATGATACTTCGAGTTTTTTTATCTGTGAAAGGTGTATATTGTGAGTTCCATAAATGTTAATGTTCATGAATTTTTTAAATTATTTCTGCTTTTCATCTTATTCTGAGGCTTGTGGTGACTGTAACCAGTTTATTGTCATCTGTTCCTTTCGAGAACAATACTTAGCATATGTAAATGTCGCTGAATGAAATATTGCAAAATTTTATGTATTCCGAAACAATGATACTTAGGTTAGTTGATGTAGGAAAGAGTAAAAATAAACTATGAACGACAAGGAATGGTTCCTTCTAAAACAATGTTCCTCACAGAATTCTTCACGGAGTACATCAATACGCGTAAGATATGTAAGCCAAGATAAACCAAGACACTTTCAAATTTGTTCATGGCAGATTCTGGTAGTATTATCATGAAAAGTTCTTCTAATTATATATTAACTAGTAATTACTGTAAGCGTTCGAAAGAAATTTGATGTGGAGTTCTTTGAGAGAACACTCATGCTTAGGGTTAACCAAAGGTAGTGACGGAGATTCTTTTTTTTATTAATAGGTATAAGAAAATTTCTCTTTTTACGAATAGATAGAGCGTCTTTCGCTCTATCTTTTCTATGCTATTTGATCAGTATCCAACTAAGAACATAGTAAGAAAATCTCGGCAAAAACTTTTCTTTGAACTCTAGCTAGTAACAACAGTACATAAAATCATCCACACGTGCTTTTTTTCCGTTTTTTCTGGATTTTTTCTTGTCCTTTCTTCCATCATCGTCCTCTTATCTCTTATAATAGCTCATCATCCATATATTTCACAGTGGACAAAAAGTAATATAGATAGAACAAAAAAAAATACAAGCATAAGTTTATAAATTGTTTATTTTATGAAATGTTCGAAATAATCACCTTGATCATCTATACACAACTGCATTCTCTCAATCCATTTTTCAAACGTTTTTTTATATTCTTCGTTACTCAAAGAATACATGAAATTGATCGCAGCTTCATATAAAGATTGTGAATCACTTTGATCGGTCAAATTTTCTTTGATTAAGTCGAATAAACAAGAATCGCATGGCGATAAGTCGGAAGAATTGGGTGGATGTTGCATTATTGTGAAACCTTTCGATTTGAGATAAGCAGACACATCTCCATGAACATGTGATTTTCCATTTTCATAATGAATTTTAATGTTATGAGTTCCATATGATGGTCTTTGACGCTCAATTTCATCGATGAGAGGGCGTAAACAATTGTTGATATAATACTGATGGTCAATAGTTTGTCCTCGTTCCAAATGATGAACCAACAGAGGACCGTTAGACTTGAAAAAGATGACTAATAAGGTTCTTGGAGCATACTTGCTTTGTCGAACTACAGCAGGTGGAGGATCTCCTCTTCTCACCCACGCTGCGTTTGATGACTTTCGACCAATTTGTTTATGATAAAACCACGATTCGTCACCAGTTATTATATCACATAATCGCCATGCTCCTTGTTGAAATTTCGATAAATTTTCTTTACATATTCGAACTCGTTCAGTCCGTTGAAAATCGGTAAGATCTTTGGGTATATAACGTGCGGTAATCTTCCTAAGGTTTAAATGACTGGTGATGTTTCAATGAATTGTGCCATAGGTTAAATCAGTTTGTTCTTGTAACTCATCTATTGTAAGATAAGGATCATCATCGATAAGAAGGTGAATCTGTTCGATATTTTCAGATTTTGTTTCAGTGATAGGTCTACCAGGTCGTGCTTCATCTTCAGTTTCTTCTCGACCTTCACGAAACAGCTTGGACCATCTTTCCACTGTTCTGACAGAGGGAGCGTGATCACCATACATAGAATATAATTCATCATGAATAATTCTTGCTTGAATATTAAGTGTAGTACGCACTTTTATGTAGAAACGAAAGTTTCCTGTAGTCATTTGGAACAAGAAAATAGGGCCAAAGTTAAACTTGATTTTTTTATCTTTTTGAGTATAAGCAAGTACACGACACGTACACACAAAAACAATACGAGGGACGTGTTAATGTATATGCAGAGGGTTAGTCATAATAAGAGATAAGAGGACGATGATGGAAGAAAGGACAAGAAAAAATCCAGAAAAGACGAAAAAAAAACACGTGTGGATGATTTTATGCACTATTGTTACCAGCTAGAGTTCAACAAAAAAAGCTTTTGTCGAGATTTTCTTACTATGTTCTTAGTTGGATACTGATCAAATAGCATAGAAAGATAGCGAAAGACGCTCTATCTGTTCGTAAAAAAAATCTTATACCTAGTAATAAGAAAAAAAAGAACCTCCGCCACTACTTTTGTATAAGCCTAAGTAGAATGGATAGTATGTAGAAAAGGAAATCTAGCTTAAAAGAAGATGGATCCATCTTCTTTTATGCTAGTAGATACGCTCAGCTAATTAGATTATAAAGAACATTCGAATCTACATTTACCGCCAAAGTGTACCATTCTTGATGCTAAAATTATAGAAAAAGTAAGCATGCCTATATTTATCTAATTATAACTGTTAGTTTGAGAATGCATTTGAAGAAAAACAAGCAGAGCGAGTATAATGCTTTAACTGGCTTTGCTTTTAGGATTGGCCTACGTATTTCAAAGTGAGAAAGAAATTATTGGTATTCAATGAGATTATTCTTTTATTACTTGAAAATAATTCAATCCCTCTGGGAAATCATATTAGAACTTCCTTCAAAAAAGAAACACGAACCAGTTAATTAACACACAGGATGCTCTTTTCAATAATTCTAAGGCTTGCGTGATATAGTGAGCTTTTCTGATAAATGCAACACTTTAATTAATATTCTATATGTTTTCTTGCCAGACTTTTAACAAGTACGATCCAAATTCCTCATAAAAATACTATTTTTTCTGAGAAAAGGACTAAATGCAGCAAAAAGTATGTAACCATGCAATTTCAAGATTCTGATAGGATTTCATATACAATTGTGTCATCATTAAAACCAGTTTCTTATTGTTTTCTGGATTAGGAAATTCTCAGAATATCATTGAGTCGAAATCGAAGAAGTGTTGGTTCATATACCGTGGTATCTATCTAGACCTATTTAGAAATGTTACCACATTCGGTACAGAATCTTTGCAAACTTTTCTAGGCAGAACAGAAACAGGCACATATGTAGAGTACTCACCTGTACATCTTCAGAATACATATTGATCAGTAACTGAAATTTCGATTCCAACTTCAAGTTGTATTTAAATTTTATTCAAATAAATACTACCTGTGAAAATTATGAAAATAAAGTATTTTTCAAGATATTTTTGCTATTGATCTAATCTTAGTATTCATTTTACTTTCCACTTGTCTTCAAAAATATACTAATAATTTTTCTCATGCATAAATACAACTAGGAGCAGCTAATAGTGAGAAATATGTTGCAGATCATACACATTAAAATAAAAAGTGTTCAAATGTAGAAGTTATAAACAATGCATTCGTTCACACACTCTCGGATACGTAGCTTCGACCTAAATGAGGAAATAGAAGCGTATAAGTTTGCAAAAAGAAATGGAGGGTTAGGTTATCATTTATCATAAATCTAGTTACTAGCAATGCATCCCTAAATTACATTCATATTTGTGAGTAATAGGATTGAAAAATTTAAAATTGACAAACAAGTAGGAGTTTTGATTTAGCGAGCTTTTTAATTCAGGGATTCCTTCCTAAATATGATACGAGACGAATTGCGATTACTTCAGTCACTAACTACATCATGTTCACATATGTACACAATTAGGCATGTAACGCAATTTTGTTGACCATCTTCAATCTTTTTTTTTGTGATCAATGCACCAGTTAGGGTTCTTTTAACATCATCTGGTGACCAATACGACTTCTTTTCAACATATCTAGTCACCAATTCTTTCGAAAATTCACTTAACTTCTTTTGAAAAACGTCTAAACAGTAGCGGCTTTGAATCACGACTGGAGCTTTTGTTTTTGATTTATCCACTCGGAAGGATTTATTGATGCAATGAGAGCTTTGGTATGGTTACTTTAAGATAAGGCATTCTATCGTGTATTGATACGGTAAAATTGTTGATATTGAAGATTTTATAAAAGTTTAAAAAATCAGGATCGGACTTTTTGGTCAAATCTAAATAGTATAAAGGACAAGAGTTTATAAGTTCCTTCCTTTTGCGCATAAAAAGTGAAGAGAGAGAAAATTAGGATCTCTATCGAGATCTTCTAATAACTCATCATCACTAATAAATGCTGAAACTATTGTTTTTCTGTTTAGTTATTATTTATATAAATTTTGAAAAAGTATTGAACGCGGTAAGCAAACGGTAGTATCGCAAACTTTCACATTCATCAAAAGTGTGCGCAAATACGAAATTCAACCATGTCTTCCCGATCGAACGAGGTATGCAGCGTTTAGTGCTCAATGGAAAATTTATTATTACATGGTAGATAAAAACTCAAGATCACAGGACACTGTTTTTCTTAAAAAAGATATCTGCTTAAGAACGAATTTCATAGCTTGAATGGTAGCATCTCTTGCATGAGAGTCCTGAAATTTATTCTTACAGTTAATACCATTGAAGTGTTCATTATTTACTAGTTATAGTAAATACTCTGATAATTTCTGAGGAGTCTTCGTGACATAGATAATCAAGTTTGATATCAGCAAACTTTATCAAACACTTTAGGACATTATTAACACATTGGGCACGATGTGGCCCACCAGTGGGCCACGCTATGGTTTTACGAGTAACTGTATAGAAGAACACTTTCTTTTGATTTCTTCTTAGGCACGAGGTTATAAACATGAAGTGTCAGTTGTTCTGTGTTCAGTGCTTTATTTGCGTCCTTTATTCCATAGGATAATGCTTGTCATTAAAACACTCTAGACAAAAAAGCTTATCACAGTCAGAACAAAAAGTTTTCACTTTCTTTGCTGCCGCATAACTTGCTTCTCTTGACTGTTGTGCCTTTCCCTTCGCATAGCAGCTAGTACATCGTCTGCCAACATTGCGCGTAGATCCTTCCTTTTCTTCGAGCTTGTGATCAGCGAGTTTGCGCTTGGAATGACTTGCTGATTGTTGTATCGGACCAGGTTTTAGCTTCTCGATTGGCGCACCAAGGAGTAAAGATCGTACAAGACTTTCTCGAAACTGTAAAATCTGTTTGTTGCTCGCCGCATAATTTTCCTTGTAAATCAGATAACTATTAACCACTGCAGTTCCAAATACCAATTCAAATGCCACCTTTTTATACCATTTCATTGACCGTCTCAGGCATGTGTGGTATGTTGATAGTTGATCTGATAAATCAGTACCTTGTCTGCCTTCATTGTAATCGAGAACAACTTGCGGCTTCATGATGCGTTCATTCAGTTTATTGATTTTTCCGGTGTTCACCACAGTTGCTGAATGAAATGGTTTAGTAGATATCATCAGAACGTCTCTTTTATCTTTCCACTTGATCAATTTTACACCGATTTTGTTCTGGAGCCCATAAACCTCACCAGGCTTGAGCTTTTTCTGAACAACTTCATATCCTGATCCAGTACGATTACTTCTCAATGTTCCAATAAGATACGTATCCTGTTCCAACAAACGTTTTGCTAGAGAAATACTAGTAAAGAAGTTGTCAGCCACCACGGTTCGATAACATCCCGAAAGACCATTCAATAGATTCATTACGACTGCTTCAGCATGTCCACGACCTGCCATAGGATCTTGCTGACCAGTATAGATCACATAATTCCAGGTGTATCCATTGGTAGCCGCTAGCTTGTATATCTTTACGCCGTACTTGTGTGCTTTTCCAGGGATGTATTGTTTGAACAAAAGTCTGCCTCGCCATGGTACCATACTTTCGTCGATGCTAATAACTGAGCCAGGCATATATACTGATGAAAACCTCTCTTTGAGTAAATCTGAGAGTGGTTTCAACTTGAACAGCCTGTCGTGGTCCGAATTCTTGTTATTGTTGTTTGTAAAATGCCAAAATTTGAGGAGTAATTCAAATCTCTCTCTCGACATGGCATTTCGTATGATCTCTGATTCGTACAATTGACTACTGCTCCAGTAGTATTTCAGTTTCGGCATTTGTACCAATCCCATCTCGATAATGATTCCAAAGAACTTCAGCATCTCTTCATCAGTGGTTGGTTTCCATTGACGAAATTTTGACCGTCTGCTAATCTCATGAGTTTGCAAATATTGTTCCGCATAGCGATTAGTTTCACGAACCATAAGGTCAATAATTTCGTCCGTAATGAAATGCCGATAGCAATCGATAGGGTCGATTGTATTGTCTCCTGAAGTCGAAGTTACTTCTTCGACGAGACCATGATCTTCCATAAATTCATCATCCGATTCTGGTTTTATTTCATTCCAGACGTTTGAATCGACCTCGTCATTTGTCACTTCTTCGTCGGAGCTTTCAGATTCAAGATGTATTCTATCGAAATCATCATCCAAAGAACTCACTTCACTTCGTGAGCTAACGCTTTCTTCTGAATCGGTTTCTTCGAACGACATGTGTACTATTCCAAAAATTCACTCGTCTTTATATAGTAAAACAACACATGGATAAGAATAACAGAGAAAAGCCTGGAATTTTCCTCCTTCTTCTCACATATGTTATATATAACATGAAAAAGAACGAAAAATTGACTCAGGCAATTCTAGTTACTCGCGAAAAAAGATTCATTATGTAGTAATACAGGAAAGAGAACGATAAATAATCAGTAGAAGATAACGAAAGGGTCATTAAGTGCATTTATTAGAAGTGAACTATTCATAAAAATGACATCTTGCAGAAATTTCATACGAAAACTGAATCGTGCCCAATGTGTTAAGTCTTATTCTTTCTATTCATTTCGAAGCGATTGCAAAAACTCACATCACCTTCTCAGAAAACTCATGGTCTTGGCCATA